GACGTTCCACAGACCCCTATTGATTTTTTTCATTTACATATGTTTTAAAGCTTTCACATTCCTTCCCACACTTGTCTAAGCACTCCTAACAAGTTCATGCACACATTTCCTTAGATCCTAAATACTTTATGCGCCCCTTAAACTCCCTTGATTGCAGACACAAAATTCCATATGAGTTTTTAATTGCACACGCCTGGCGCCAGATTGTGTGTCAAACAAATCATGGTACAATACTCTTTATAAAAAGAAAAATGTTCCATGATTTTCATGTGGGCTGAATACTGCTAGGTTGCTCAGGCTAAGGCAGGTGAATTTTCTTAAGGAATCCACAACCGTAACCTTTGGGTAGCCAAAGCCTGACCCGCAAGGCAGCGGGGAGGTGTGTGAAAACCACAACCCATTGTGGGCCGGTGTCCATTTCATCGGATCATACGCCTATTGGATGGGGTCAAACGTCCAAAGTGCGCAATACACCTTGATGTCCAATCGAGCCGGTGACCACTGCCACAACCAGGGAGTTGTGTGTTTGGTTCGCACGCCTCCACTTGGTTGGTTTGCAATCAGGATTTTCAGCCAACTCCCCTAGGTGAACTATCAGCGGTCCACCAACTCGGTTATAGCTCCGGATGTCGGCTATTCATTCACTCACTTTGGTGGTAAAACACGTCCATCGGGAGACGGCATTGAGTAGGGCTTACTCAGCAAAGGCTATTTGAGACGCTTGGTCTGATGCGAGCATTTCGCGAGGTACAATTGAAGGCTGACCAGCGGCAACCCTAGCCACCCACCCCCGACCATTCTGAGGCCTTCGGAGGCCACATGAGTGCTCACCAGTGAAGTATATAAGTTGAATGATGAAGGTGTTGGACTATGTAACTGGGTAGTACCGATGATGATAATGTTCATGGCGTTGAGAGGAATGTCCTATTGTGCTAAAAAGAGTACTACAACTTTTCCGAAGTTATCAAGCACCTTGTCAGATGTTGTTCTATTTTTGATCTGGGTCCTACCTTGTATTTTCGCTCCAGGCGTAGGCTTAACTCACCTCTTTGTTTGCGTGAAGAGTGTATGCATAGGGAACTGCTGGCGTAAATCGGTATTCATTTATCGCACAAGTTATGTTCTATTGAATATACCCCAATCATAAAATGGAATTTAGTGTCTTTTTAACTGTTACCTTTTTCGGGCTTGTTGGTTTGAATGGGGTACCCAAAGTCATGTTTATTTGACACTGTAGACTTCCATTACAACTTAGTCCTCCATCCAAAAGCATGGGACAAAACTTACCGTTATTGCATAACCGTCCTTTTTTACACTATTCCACACAGCATACCGCTCCAGAGCCCCCCACTACCAACGGAGCATCACGTCCACCACCACCACCA